GTTCGTGTCCAGGTTCTGGCGCGCCTTCTGTTCCCAGTTGGGTATTAGGCTCTCCTTTTCTTCAGCCTACCACCCGCAGTCCAATGGGGCTGCGGAGCGTTCCAATCAGGCCCTAGAGCAATTCCTTTGTTGTTACATCTCGGACCATCAGGACGATTGGGCCGATCTCCTGCCTTGGGCAGAGTTTGCCAGGAACTCGGCGGTCAACTCCTCCTCCAGGATGTCTCCCTTCATGGCCAACTATGGGTTCCAACCCGCAGTATTACCTGAGAGGTTCTCACCCCAGGACATTCCGGCTGTGGAGAACCATCTTGCTGCTCTGCGTTCTTCATGGGGGCAGATCCAGAGGGCCTTGAGGGACTCAGCTCAGCGCCAGAAGTTCCAGGCTGATCGCAGACGGCTGCCCGCCCCTTCATATCAGGTCGGCGATCGGGTGTGGTTGTCTACTCGCAACCTCAATCTTCGGGTGCCCACACCCAAACTAGCCCCCGGTTTTGTTGGTCCTTTTCGCATTCTCCGCAAGGTGAATCCAGTGGCCTATGCCTTAGCCCTTCCTCCTGGGATGCGGATCTCCAATACCTTCCATGTATCCCTGTTGAAACCTCTGGTCTGCAATCGCTTCACTACCTCTCTGCCTCGGCCCCGTCCCATCCGGGTTGATGGTCATGAGGAGTATGAGGTGAGCCGGATCCTGGACTCTCGATTGGTGCGCGGTCGGTTGCAGTTCCTGGTCCATTGGCGTGGTTATGGTCCCAAGGAACGTTCCTGGGTTCCTTCCGCGGATGTCCATGCTCCTGCCCTCCTCCGCGCTTTTCATACCCGCTTTCCTCAGAAACCTTTTGTTGAGCCGCGGAGGGGGAGGGCCCTTGAGGAGGAGGTACTGTCAAGGTCCTACCTTTTTACCAGAGGTTATGTTACTCCAGGTGCTGGCATCCATCTTGGATTTCTGCAGAGCATGGTGGGAATCTTTTATGCCTTCAGGTCTCTGAGGTCCATCCCCCAGAGGGGTGTGGCTGATGACATATAAGCCTGTGTTCCGCACATGCTCTTTGCACTTGTGTCTTTGTGTTGCTGTTACTCTGTTCTGACTCTCGTGACTCTCCTGGAATCTGACTCGGCTTGTGACCTGACCATTCTTTGTGTTCTCCTTTGTTCTGACCCTCCGTTGCTGAACCCGGCTCGTGACCTGTGATTCTTGTCTGCTGTCCTGTACCGTTTTTGTCTCGTTGTTGTTGACCCGGCCTGTCTGACTACTCTATTGTCTTTACCACTAGCTACACGCCATTGGCGGCGGCCATTACCGTAGCTGGGGTGCCTCGGGGGCCGAGACCTGGTTCTTGGCTGCGTCAAGTCCATCCCCACCATCAGGGGCCCTGGTGAAGGGCAGCCTGGGACTTAGACTCCGCGCCCTGAGGGACTTCGGTCTGTGGGTGGTGGTTGTCGTCAGCCTGTGCGTTACATTGGTATTAGGCCTGCCTGTCCATTTCCCAGCTCCTGCCCTGACAGTGTGGCAGTGTATAGGTCCACTTGGTGGTAGGTGGTGGAGTGTTTCCCAAACCACAAAGAGGAACATTCACAGTGTCACTGGGGATTGCGCACCGGAAGTTACGTCACGGCATGCCGGAAGTGACTTCAGTTGACTGCAAGGAAGCCAGCAGTGGCCGTTGTCTATCGTCCAAGTAGGGTGAATAGCAGGGAGCTCTGCTGACAAATCCAGGTCACCATGATGATGTGTTTCACAGTTTGTGCCCTGTCACAGTCAAGTGGTAACCAGGATAACTTAGAGTTATAAAGGTTCAACAAGGAGATGGGATGGAGCCGATGGAGGAAATTAAGGCTGGGGATTTCAAGACATATATATTTAGTAGGTTATCAATAATTCCCATGCAAACCTTATAATCTGCCACTATAAATTAAATAAAATTCAACAAAAAATGACTATTACAAATAATTGGTACAAGATAAGAGAAATTAGGTCCCAACAGGACTACTTACCCAAAAAGACAATAAACATATGAACCAATAAAAAATAAATAATATATAAATTTGGCCTAAACTTTACCTATCCTATCTACACTAGGAACGGACATTAGTGCATAATGTAGACAATTAAATCTATTTCTCCATATCAGATGGTGAATGATAAGAAAAAATACTCGAATGGTAAAACAAATCATACTTAATTGAGAAAAGGAAAAGTTAAATATATCACGTCAGAATATTATTATTATTATTATTATTATTATTATTACTACGAGTTTATATAGCGCCAAAGGGTTTGCTCAGCGCTGTACAATAGGATAGGATAGGAAAAACTAATGGGAACCTATCAAAGAGGTCTCAGATTATATTTTATTATCCAATATATTACGTCAATCAGGTAAGTAGCTAATTTTAATTCACATTATACAATGTACTTCTGGGTCCTCGTTTAACCCATCAGGTAACATAGTTCCTAATTTAAATATCCAGAAAGTTTCTGCATAAATATCCAGAAAGCTTCTGCATAAATATCGAGAAAGCTTCAACAAAGAAGGGAAAATCTTTCGTTCAGTCAAAGATCTGTCATTAATACATTAAATTGCCAAAACCTCCATTTGTTTGAAATCTTTATTGCGGCAATGAGGAAATGGCATGGAACATGATTTTGGTCGTTGCCGTCTATAATAAGCCGGTGATGTTCACCAACCCATTTATGTAATGTACATTTAGTGCGTCCAACATATAACAGTTTACATCGAAAGTGTAGAACATAAATAAATTCAGAAGAACAGGTAATAAATTGTTTAATCACTAATTCGTTCCCCTTACTGTCCAAGAAGCTGGATCGTCCATAGTGAGTGGACTGACAGGTCAAACATCCCCTTTTACGGCATTGGAAAATATCTGTTCTACTATCAAAGAAAGAATGTATATCTGAAAGGGTTCTTGTTTTTTTATGTGTTGTTAGCTTGCTAGGAGCTAAAATATTTTTCATGTACGAGCACGCTTAAAGATAACAGCAGGATCCTAAAGTAATAATGGGCCAAGTTTTGGGTCCAGTTTTAGAATGTTCCAATGTTTGCGAATGATACCTGAAATTGCTTTGTATTTGTTATTAAAACCAGTAAAATGGGTGATTGCTTCTTTTTTGGTAGGACAGATAAATGTTTGGTATGTGCTTCTGAGATCAGGCTATCCGGATAGCCCTTTTCAGAAAAAGTTTATATCAGTTTATATCAAGTTTATATCAAGGTTTCACTTTGTTTAAGATAATCCTCTACCTTGGAACAATTGTGATTGATCAAGCGATTGAACTGACCAGACAGGATATTGTTTTGCTCCATGGTGACAACTACTATAATGTAGGTACGAATTTCCTGTCATGGGTTTACAATAAATACTTGTCACAATATTAGTACCATCATGCGTAAGTTCCAAATCCATAAAAAAACTATTTATCTGGATCAAATACTGAAGTAAACTGAAACTGAAGTAAAAGTAAAACCTAAGGAATTATTATTGCAGTGGGAGACAAAGGAGAACTCCACCAAATAAATGATGATGCCATCAATATATGTGCCGTAAAAGTTGAGATATTGGAAAAAGGATTGTTTCCTCAGACATACTTCACCTTCCAATACCCCGTAGCATATTGCCATACACAGATAGCGCCCATAGCAGTGCCATGGGTTTGCAGGTATAATTCGTCAGCAAACAAAAAATAATTATGCTCTAAGCAGAATCGTGTGCTGTCTACTAAAAAAACTGGGCTTGAATAGAGCTCATAGAGGAATCTTTTGACAGGAAGGAACATAATGCTTTCAGCCCCACTTGATGAGGTACTGAAGTGTATAGTGATACAACATCTAATGAGGCCCAATAATAGCTTATCCCATAAGTAAGTTTTTACCAATTCTATAACATGTCCTGAGCCACGGATATAAGAGGGCAAATGTGACACGATGGGCTGGAGAAAAAAAATGAATACATTGAGATGGTCCACTGAGGAAGCTAAAAATACTTGACACAATGGGCTGGCCAGCAGGGTTGACTAGGGATCTGTGAACCTTTGGCAGATGGTAAAAATATGGGGTGCTGCATAAAAGGGGCAATAAAAATTGCTTCTCCTTTTTGTCCAGCACCCCATCTGTAAAGGCCTTATCCACTAAAGTGGATCACAAAATAGTTTACAATAAGTTTTATCATCCACAAGTAATCGATATGCTTCAGTTAAATAATCACTTTTATTTTGTACTACTAAACTCCTGCCTTTATCCGTTTGTTTTATAATAATGGATTTGTTGGCCTGTAAATTTTTAAGGGCACTATATTCTGCCAGTGAAAGGTTATAAGAATATTGTTTGTGAGAGGGTATTACAAAGTGCCAGAAAATCTCTACAGGCTAATTGAAAGAAGGCCTTTGTGTAGGGGCCCTTAGACTGTGTAGGAAAAAAAAATGTTGATTTGGGTCTAAAACCTGAATGTATGATGTCTGGATCTAGGAAATATTCTACAGATTGGGTATACGTATGACCGTCGGTCCATAATTCACTCAGTATATCAACTAACGTATCGTCCATGCAGGGATATTGGTCATTTATATGGAGAATGAAATTATCTAAAGGCCGGACTTCCACTAAGTCATGAGTGGCATAATGCCGTTTATTGGTCTGAGATCGAATAAACCTATGTCAATCCTTAACCAGTTGCCTACAGGGCACTTTTACCCCTTCTTGCCCAGGCTAGTTTTCAGCTTTCAGTGCTGTCGCATTTTGAATGACAATTGCGCGATCATGCAACACTGTACCCATATGAAATTTTTATCATTTTTTTGAGACAGAGATTTCTTTTGATGGTATTTAATCACCTCTGGGTTTTTTATTTTTTGCTAAACAAACCAAAAACTACTGAAAATTTTGAAAAAAAAAGTTTTTTCTTAGTTTTTGTTATAAAATTTTGTAAATAAGTGATTATTCTCCTTCACTGATGTGCACTAATGAGGCAGCAGTGATGGGCACTGATAGGCTGCACTGATGGGCACTGATAGGTGGCACTGATGGGCACTGATGAGGAGGCACTAATAGGTGGCACTGATGGGCATTGACAGGCATCACTGATGGGCACTGAAAGGCAGCACTCATATATGGCACTGATAGGCAGCACTGACTGGCACTGATATGAGGCACTGACTGACACTGTTAGGTCTTACTGACTGGCACTGTTAGGCGGCACTGATAGGCAGCATTGACAGGCATTGATAGGCGGCACTGATGCGCACTGATAGGTGGTACTGACTGGCACTGATAGGTGGCACTGATTGGCAGCACTGATAGGTGACACGGATTGGCAGCACTGATAGGTGGCACTGACTGGCACTGATATGTGACACTGAAAGGCAGCTCAGTAGGGCACTGATATGTGGCATTGATGTGCACTGGTAGGCATTGATATGTGGCATTAATGTGGCACTGATGGGCACTGACAGCTGGCATTGATGGGCACTGACAGCTGGCACTGCTGGGGCTACACTGATCATCAGGGCACACTGATCATCAGTGCCCTGATGATCAGTGTACATGTCCTCACCGAGGAATGCCAAATACTGGCTCTCCTCTCCTCACAAGCTGTCAGTGTGACAGCTCGTGAGGAGAGAAATGCCGATAACCGGCATTTCCCTATTTACATGTGATCAGCTGTGATTGGACATAGCGGATCACATGACAGAGCAGCCATCTTCGGCTCTTTCCATTGATCAGTGATCTGCTGTGTCCGAGGGACACAGCGCACCACCGATTGCAGCGCTGCTTGCTCCCAGAGGTGCGCATGCGCTGTTAGAGTGGGAGGACGTCATATGACATCCTCCTCCGAGAACAAAAGAACCGCCTTAGAAGGAGTAAAAATAAGGCCTCTCCTCAACAGATCATTCTCAGGCTCACTAAGTATATGTGAATATAAATTATATATTTTGATCATACTCTCCATTAACCGGTTGCCTACTGGGCACTTTTACCCCCTGCCTGCCCAGGCCAATTTTCAGCTTTCAGTACTGTTGCACTTTGATTGACAATTGCGTGGTCATGCAACATTGTACCCATATGAACTTTTTATCATTTTTTTTAACACAAATAGAGCTTTCTTTTGGTGGTATTTAATCACTACTGGGGTTTTTATTTTTTGCACTATAAACAAAAAAACAGCAACAATGTTTTTCTTTGTTTCTATTATAACATTTTGCAAACAGGTAATTTTTCTCCTTCACTGATGTGCGTTGATGAGGCTGCACTGATAGGCAGCACTGATGGGCACTGATGAGGTGGCACAGATAGGCAGCACTGATGGGCACTGATAGGCTGCACTGATGAGCAGCACTGGTGGGCATTGATGAGGAGGCACTGATGATGGTGCACTGATAGGCAGCACTGATGGGCAGCACTGATAGGCACTGATATGCAGCACTGAATGGTGCACTGATGGGTGGTACTGCTGGGCAGCACTGATGGGTGGCACTGCTGAGCACTGATGGGTGACACTGCTGGGCACTGACCATCAGGGCACTGATCTGGAGGAAAGAAGGGAAGTTGGTGAGGTACCTCTGTCCTCCATCCCCTTCCTCATTGCCTGATGGCTTTATATTCTTTTCTACATTATGTGAGTCAACATCAATGTTGGTGATAACAGGCTTGATCTCATGAGAATTTGAATATTTAGATGAACTGGGGTTCTGCCTTTCTTGTGTGAGTTTATGACGATTTTTCTTCCTTCTAAAATTTGTATTCTTAGTTTTATTAGGTTTATGGGACCCTTTATAAACCCTTAATCCCCTTTGGGGCCACTTTCATTTCTAAGTATTTGCGAAGAAAAGTAAGATCCCACCATTGTGTATTCTCATATATTTTTGCATGCTGTAATTGGAAGAATGCTTTTCTCATCTTTCTTAATTTCAAATTCTTCTGGATGTGTAAGATGAGAAATAGCTCCTCCTTCTTTGGGCCTTTGTACAATATTTTTTATTGGATTATTAGCCTCCTTTTTGGAAAATGAGATCTTTTAGGAAGCTTCCTTTTGGGAAAATTAATTGTAACCTGTCAGATATATTAGGTGCCTATATATATACATATATATAAAAAATTAATTTGAAATAAAAATAATGTACAGTGCACACTAATGTTATGTACCAATTCTAATTATAAATCTACTACAATAAAACCATAAAAAAAATTTCAATAGAATATCAATAAAAGTGGATAAACCGCATAATGGAGCTGGATAAAGTTGGCAGTTAAGAAGTACAAAATAAAAGTGATTATTTAACTGAAGCATATCGACTACTTGCACTTACTAGATTTTTTTCTCCTGCCCTTCTTGTCACATTTGTTCTCTTATATCCGGGGCTCAGCACTATTATTGGATTTCATTAGCTGTTGTTTCACTATACACTTCAATACCTCACCAAGTGGAGCTGATGGCATTATGTTCCTTCCCATCAAAAGATTCATCTATGAGGTCTATTCAAGCCCAGTTTTTAGTAAACAGCACATGATTCTGCTTAGAGCATAATTATTTTTTGTTTGCTGACGAATTTCACCTTGAAACCCATGGCACTGCTATGGGTGCTAAGTTTGCCTCTGTGTATGCCAATATTGCTATGGGGCATTGGGAGAAGAAGTATGTCTGGGGAAACAATCCTTTTTCCAAATATCTCACCTTTCACACCAGATATATGGATGACATAATTATCATTTGGTGTGGTTCCCGGGACGACTTCTCCTCTTTTGTCTCCCACTGCAATAATAGTTCCCTAGGTTTTATTTTTACTTCAGTTTTTGGTCCAGATAAAGTGTTTTTTCTAGATTTGGAACATACGCATGATGGTACTAATATTATTACAAGTAATTATTGTAAACCCAAAGCAGGAAATTCTTACCTACATTATAGTAGTTGTCATCATCCAGCCTGGCAAGACAATATCCCTTCTGGTCAGTACCATCGCTTGAGACGTAATTGTTTCAAGGTAGAGGATTATCATAAACAAAGTGAAACCTTGATAAAAAATTTTTTTGAAAAGGGCTATCCGGATAGCCTAATCTCAGAAGCACATACCAAACATTTATCTGTCCTACTGAAAAAGAAGAAATCACCCATTAACAGTTGTAATGCACTTAGATTTTTTATTGGTTTTAATAACAAATACAAAGCAAGCTAACAATACATAAAAAACTGAGAACCCTTTCAGATATACATTCTTTCTTTGATAGTAGAACAGGCATTTGCCAATGCCGTAAAAGGGGATGTTTGACCTGTCAGTCCATTCACTATGGACGATCCAGCTTCTTGGACAGTAAGGGGAACGAATTAGTGATTAAACAATTTATCACCTGTTCTTCTGAATTTGTTATTTATGTTCTACGCTGTCCATGTAAACTGTTATATGTTGGTCACACTAAACGTACATTACGTAAACAGGTTAGTGAACAACCAACTTATTATAGATGGCAATGACCAACATAGTGTTCCATGCCATTTTCTCCATTGCCACAATAAAGATTTCAAACAAATGGAGGTTTTCACGATTGAATGCATTAATGACAGATCTTTGATTCTGAATAAAAGATTTTACCTTTCCATATATTAGAAACTATGATACCTGATGGGTTAAATGAGGACCCAGAAGTAAATTGCATAATGTGAATTAAAATTAGATCCTTACCTGATTGATATATATATATTGGATAATAAAATGTGATCTAAGATCTGTTCGATAGGTTCCTATTAGTTTTTCCTATCATATGCTGAGGTTATATATTAAACTTACTTCTCCTTTTCGCAATTAAGTATGATTTGTTTTAACTTTTGAGTATTTTTTCTTATTATTCATTATCTGATATGGAGAAATGGATTTTTGGGTAAATAGTCCTGTTGGGACCTAATTTCTTTTAGATTATACCAATTATTTGTAATAGTAATATTTTTACTGAATTGTATTGAATTGATAATGGTGTATTATAAGACCAATTTGCATGGGCATTATTGATAACCTGCTAGGTGTATATGTCTTTAAATCCCCGGTCTTAATTTCCTCCATTGACCCTGCACCATCTCCTTGAGCCTTTATAACTCTAAGTTCTCCTGGTGTCAGGGACCCCTCCATGCAGCCATGCAACGGCGCCGGATCCCCTCGGGCCACGGCGGTGCGAGTGCTCATGCACGGGAGCATGCGGACACGCATACGCAGGAGCGTGCGAGTGTGCGCATGCGCAGTAGCGTTCACGTCACCACAAGAAGGGCTATTTAAACCTGCAATACAGTTAGTCAATGCCTTCTGGTCTGTAACGTCCTGCACTCCATAACCTGATTCTGTTGCCTGTATTTGATCTTACCCTGACTAAGAAAGAACTCTGTCTGCACCGATCCCAGCTATCCCTGACTATCCGCTTGCCTACCCCCTTGTACTTGATTTGCTCGTTTGATCCTGACTCGGCTTGTCTGACTCTGCTGCACCTACTTACCTGTATCTGCACCTGGCTTGTATCCTGATTGCTGCCATATTTACCTGCTGCTGCACCCACGGTCCTGCTCCTGGCCTGCATCCTGGTCACTACCATACTTACCTGCTGCTGCACCCACAGTCCTGCACCTAGCCTGCATCCTGGTCACCGCCATACCTGCCTGCTGCTGCATCCACGCTCCTGTGTCCAGTCCCAGTCTGCATCCTGATTGCCGCCATACCTGCCTGCTGCTGCACCTACGTTCCTGCATCCGCACCGACCTGCATCCGAGTCTCCTAGGTCTTCACCTGCCTGCCGCCAGCTCCAGACCTATCCAGCACTCGTGCCACTCCTGGCTCTGCGCCCTCTGTTCCCACTATCAGGGCTCCCAGCGGGAGTAGTAAGAGGACGCCTCCTCTCCACGTCAGGCTCCCCAACCAGGTACGTGTCACCTGGTTACCACTTGACTGTGACAAACACATTGTCATAGTAACCAGGATTTGCCAGCAGAGCTCCCTGCTATTCTCCCTACTTGGCAGATAGACAGACAACGGCCACTGCTGGCTTCCTTGCGGTCCACTGAGGTCACTTTGGGCGCGCCGTGATGTAACTTCCGGTGCATGATCCCCAGTGACATTGTGAATGTTCCTCTCTGTGGTTTGGGAGACACTCCACCACCTACCACCAAGTGGACCTATACACTGCCACACTTGGCAGTTTCTGTCTTATATGGATCTCCCCACCTTGAGTTCATTACAGAGGACCCTTCACATCGGGGATGCCCATCAGTAAACCATTCTTAACAATCACCACAAGCAAGGTTTGGAGCTGTTCTGTTGAATATATTTTATCATTGTTTTTCACTTCATTGAACTTCAT